CTTCTCTCCTCCTCCCCTTCCCCCTCCTTCGGGAAGGAGGTCAACACGTGGCATCTGTGTGTGTGTGTGTCTACCTCCTCCGTTTTTTTTGGGTACAAAAAAAAAAACAAAAAAAACACAGGATCTTATAGCCCTGGCTGAGGCTGGCTCCTATTCCCCACCGGCAAGTCAGAAATATACAACAAGAACCACCCTCTCTATCTCCGTCTCTGTCTCTGTCTCTCTCTGTCTCCGTCTCTGTCTCCGTCTCCGTCTCCGTCTCCGCCTCCGCCTCCGCCTCCGTCTCCGTCTCCGTCTCCGTCTCCGTCTCCGTCTCCGTCTCCGTCTCCGTCTCTGTCTGTCTACGGTTGGCGGTCACAGCAACACATCTGTGTGACAGATTTGTAATAGCAGCACTCTATGTCTGGCTCAGGCCACTGTCTGTATGTGAGCTTGACATCGAGTTCCTGCTGGTACTCTTTCTTCGTTGAGCATCTCTAAGACTTCGTAGTGGCAGTCCAGTAATGTATCGGAGTCTAGGTGTGCGTGTGTGCACTCCCTCTCAGTACTTGTCGAGCCCAGTGCTTATAACAACCGGCCTGCTTGGCTGCCTACTGGACTTCCTGCTGCTTGCCTGCCTGCCCGTGGCTCGACTGACCCTCCTACCCGCCTGCTGACTGATGAACCGGCCGGTGGCTTGCTTGCTTGCACCTCTCTCCTTCTTTTCCGTCTTCTTCTGTTTATCTATTCTCTCTCGCTGTGACGCTAGCCTTTCGACTGACACGGCTGTCTCATTTCCCGTGCTTGGATTTTTTTTTTTTTTTAATTTGTATCTTTTTCCTTGGGAATCCTGGATTGGACTAAAGCATCGGCTTCTTGGAAACAAGCCGTTGTCTGACTTGCTGAAGTTCAAACGATGGCATGCTCCCAAACAAACAAAAAAAAAAGAAAAAAAAAAAGGCATGCTGTAAGAACACCTCCTTCAGTAATTTCTTACATCTTTTCTTTTTTTTTGGAAAAAAAGTTTTAGTTTTATAATAACTTTTATTATATGAACGATCGACGAGGCCGGGAATTCCTTGACATCTCAACCTGGATAGTGCTGGGGCCGTTGCCCAGTTTTGCGTTTCATGATTTCATCATTTCGCTGAACTTTGTATCGAAGCATATCATTGAAATTTGTATCGCTGCAACTTTAACGGATGTCCCGAAGGACCGCTACCCACGTTTGGCTTGTGCAGGAAACAGGGTCCAGCGTCCCCAATTAAGAATAAAAGTGGACAAATTTGAATCAAAGTTGACAAATTAACGGATGAGTCAAAGTTGACAAATTAACGGATGAGTCAAAGTTAAAAAAAAATTGAGCCAAAAGCCAATGCAGGAAATTGGGTCTGCAACTCCAACAAGAACGAAAGTGGACAATTAAGACTCAAAACAGAAATGAAGTTTAATAAACTAATAATAATTTAATAAAGGAATATAAAAGTCTCCTGTGTTTTCAACAAGGTGAAAATTATTGTATCATCTGTGCACATGTGCCTGCAGCTTGGGATGAACATTCACAATTCCTCTTTGAAACTTCCTTGAACTTTCCTTGAAGGTGACTTTCTTTAGAAACCTGTTTAAGATGTGACAGACCATATTTGATGCTGACTTCTTTGTCTCTGTCTCTGTCTCTGCCTCTGCCTCTGTCTCTGCCTCTGCCTCTGTCTCTGTCTTTCTGTCTGTCTGTCTGTCCGTCCGTCCATCCGCCTGCCTGCCTGCCTCTCTCTCTCTCTCTCTCTCTCTCTCTCTCTCTCTCTCTCTCTCTCTCTCTCTCTCTCTGCACTTGATGTCACATTCTATGAGTGTTCACTGTGATATGTAAAGCCTCACACTTTGAGTTCACCATTGCATCTGTCTCTCTTTCTGTCTGTCTGTCTGTCTCTCTTGCTGTCTCTTCTCTTGATCTTCTGCGCTTGCCCTCTCTCTGTCTCCCTCTTCTCTTGATCTTCTGCTCTCGCTCTCTGGAACTGCACTCTCTCTTTCTCTCCATCTCTCGCTCTATCCTCCTTTTCCTTTCCG